GCTACCACAGCCCTCTGTGTGGAGCAGAGAGCTGACATCTATGGCACCGGGGGGAGCAGATGGTGGGGGTTGAGGGCCTTGCTCAAGGGCCAAGAATGGCACAAATGAGAGTAGATGCAGGTGTGGGTACTTCACCATTCCCACCCACATTTTGATGTTGTCGGTTTGGGGAATTGAACTGGTGACCTTCCGATCACAGGATCGCCTTCTCTAACTCCTGCACCACCACTCCCCCCACCAAATCTTGCAAAAAATACTAAATAAAATTCAAGGAACATAGAAGCAGAAACTCCATACATGCATAATTTCATACATTTGTATTGAAACTGTATAGAACAAAAATGGATTTGAGTAAATTCTTAAATTTTCTGAAACTTTTTTAAAGTATATTTTACTGTCATTTAAGACTCATGTTCTGAAAAATATGAATGTCTAAAACATTCAGGGGGTCGTCCTTAAACATCTAAAATGTCACCTACTTTTTTTAGTTGCTGACATCATGTTTTAATATCAGTCTGTCAGACTGGTAAAATGAATATTTATATTTGTATTTTACAAATAGAAACATAAAGACGTTTATTCATCATTCATCATCGAGGCTCAATGGGATTAACCTGTCTAAATAAAGACTGAAAATCATCAAACCTTACAGTGTGCTTGATACTATTTGTCTGAGATCTTCCTCAAAAAGTATGGCCTTGAGCTCATTTAACCTTGACTTTGAATTTGAAATAACTTGAGCTTCACAGCAAACAAATTTTTAAAGGTCTTAAGAGCAAGTGTCCAGGATCTACTTGAGAGCTGGTTGAAGTTGCATACAATACAAAATTGTTGCTCTGTTGGGCAAACTAAAAATATACTTCAGAATATAAAAGTTGTGCCCGAAGCTCATCTTAATCTGACGTTAATAAAAAGTTGCTGTTAGTAGGAGCTGCGTTGTTTTTACTGCTGATAGAGGAGAGGTCACAGAGTTCTGTAGCCAAAGGCCAAAGGTGCCTAGTCCAGTCTCAGAGGAACCACAGGATTTATTTTGTGCAGTCTTCGAGCAGACTTTACAGCCTTCTAGTCTTTTAAAAATTATGAAGGCAATCAAAATGGAAATGTTGCTCCTTTGAAGTTGCATTTGAATCCCCAAATGGTTCGTCTTGGTCTCATCTTTCGCTTTGATAATGAACTGCTGCCCTCGTTCCATTTGAGCATTTAGCCTTTCTACTGCCCTGCTGCTATACACACCCATCCTGTTTTTTCCTCTTACACACACAAACAAACAGCTTCGTCACCATTTACCTGAGTCACGGAGGATAATCTCTCCATTCGATGAAGTCACAGGCAACCCTGTCACTGTAGAGCATGAGAGTCTGTGTGTTTACATGTACACAGTCTACTGTAAATATGTCATGCAGTAGGTTGGATCGCTCAAAGGGTTCGAGTTAAGCAGCATGTCTGCCTGATGACTCCAGTCTGTGTGGGTAGTGTTGAGAGTGGTGTCACCAGTGGAGACAGAAGCAGGGACTCTTCAGGGTGCCACTTACAGAGTAAAACACCATTATGTCTCCATTCTGAGTCCACCCACAGGAAGCTCAGTTTAAAGCACTTCCAGGGAGTCTGAAAACACTCATTAACGAATGCACTGCTTTTTAAGGAGCAGTATATTTATTCCTGTCTTTATTTAGTTAATTTAAATCAATCTTGCGTATGTGCATCTACAGATATTGTAAAATATGATAATTTAGTTTTTAAAATAGCGTTTTTCTCCTTTATTGTTTCATATAATAAATCATGATTATCTCAACTTGTATCAAATAATATAATTGATTTTTGCAATAATAACAGTAAGCATGTTCTGTATGACATTATCAATCGCTCACATCATAGTGGAGGAATTTTGACCCACTCCTCTTTACAACGTTGGCTCAGTTAATGGAGGGTTGCATTCTGTAAAGCTCTCTTAATGGTCCACCACAGCATTTCAGTCAGGTTGAAGTCTGGACAGTTATATTATTCTTTTATTTTTCAGCACATTTGCTGCTGTGTTTGCAGTCGTCTTGTTGCATGATACCATTTAAGATAAGTTTCAGATGCACCTTGTTGATACAAGGTGGTGGTTCTGATGTGTTGTTTGATTTTCTCCAAAGATGCTGCTGTGCTTTATGAGCAGAAATCTCCACTTTGGTCCTCTCTGTCAAAAATACATTAGAGTAGTCCCTCGCTACTTCACGGTTTGTTGTCCAGTCTATCTCAGTTTTTCAAAATAAGATTGGGCATGACACACAATTGGCTGATTGATGCATGAGCCGCACGATCGGCATGGATTTTTTTTATTTTAAATTAATTATTTTTAAATTATTTAGCACCTGCTACACATTTGTGCAGCCCAAACCTGCAGAAAAAGCTTACTCCTGCAACTGATCAGCTGTTCACCATGCATAGCAGAGAAGTGGGTGTGGCCAAGCTTTAGACTTTAGAAACATTGTTTATAATATTGCAAGAGTATGTAAAGTGTTTAAAACATATATATATATATATATATATATATATATATATATATATATATATCTGAGAAGTTCTGAGGAGACACCAAAAACCAACTGATTCCAATAAACAGCAACAGCATTCCCACATTGTTTCCACTATAGAGTATGCTGTTTGTGGGAATCAGTTTGTTTGGCGTCTTCTCAGATTTGAAGAAGTCCTTTGGATGAAGGATGAAGGACGAAACATCTCAGCAAAAAAAGAAACTGTCCAGATGAACTGACTGAACTTTGTTGGATTTTTACCTGGATTAATGAGCATGGATTTTGGCATTTATATAATTTTATTTTTTTATTCTTTCTTACCACTCAAAGCACTTCTACACTATAATTCACTTTAACACGCATTCACGCAGATTGGTGGCAAATCTGGGTTCAGTGTCGTTGCTTGTGGTGAGTTGCAAAGTGTTGATTCGTTTATAGAAGATCAAACTGAATTTGGATGTAGAAAAAAAAAACAAGTGATTGAGTTACATTTAATTAAATAATCGTGAAGGTGTTCTCTTTCTGGAACTTGGTCTCAATTACTCAAATGCTGAAGTCCTGGATGTTTGGACATGTTTGCTGATTTTAGTCATCCTTTGTTCACAGCATTTTCAAGAGTACAATCTAATACATTCAAAAAGCATTACTTTTGTTCAGAAGCTTGCCACTGACACAAGCGAGTGACGAAAAACACATAACCATCTATTTTGTGCCTCTGTCTGCATTTCCATCTGAATGATGTGGCGCTATTCTTAGATATGTGGGAGGATAGATGGGCATCATTTAGATTTTCATTTTCAAAGGCTTTTCTCCTCGTGGCTGTGAGCCATTTTCAATCGACCATTTGTTGGTGCACAGAATAATGCTAATTATGTGCACAAAGCCTACTGTAAATGGTGGCTTTGGAGTTCTTAAGAAAAGGATTTTGACAATAAAAAAGGCTTCATGACATACCCTGCTTCCCTGTGAATAGGGTCTTATTAATATTCAGCTGAACACCAGTTAATACCAGCTTTAACACCACATATTGAAATCTGTGTAAAGCATTGTATCTTTACTTGATTTTATCAACTTAAACTATGTGTAGACACTGTTGTACATGAAACAGTACTTCCAGAGTTATCTTGTTCTTATAATCCTGTTAGTACAAGTGTTTTTTTTTTCTTTTTCTGTTGACCATGTTTGAACTCTGTTCAAACTCTTTCACATAAACAGTTGTGGTTTAGCTCATACCAGTAAGGAGGATTTCATCAGGAACTGTTGCACCTTCCCTGCAACTCCCACTGCTTTTCATCGGAAATGGAATGTTCAATCTTGTGATATTTTTCCTTTTGTTTGTCAGCTTGTATCTGAGCAAATGTGAAAAGTATTTCCATGCATGATGACAGTTTCCAGGCTGTTATTGGTCAAGATGATGTAACAGGAAGCTGGTAATCACTGTTATATTTCCAGTTTTTCTGTAAACAATTCATTAGATTTTCCAAACACCAGAAGACCAGAGATCAGACAGACTTCAACATTTGAGATATGACTGGATGATGTATGTTTAGGAATTTGCTTAACAAAAATGAACTCATGTTTTCATCAGAGTAATTTTTTTTTTAAACCAAAGCTTTTTAAGTTGGAGAAAATGTCAAAAAGTCTCATTCATTTATAATAATATATATATGTTTTTTTTTTATTAAATTAACTAGAAAAAATAATTTAAAAAAATATATTTGTTTTCTGAATGTTTTATCTGGGCAGCTTTTCTAATAAATATGTTCTGGAGAAAAATAAATGTTTAGATAAAGTTTGGATGGATGGATGGATGGATGGATGGATGGATGGATGGATGGATGGATGGATGGATGGATGGATGGATGGATGGATGGATGGATGGATGGATGGATGGATGGATAAATACAATACAAATAGAAAACTATTGGATAACCCCCCCCACACACACACACACACACACATGCACGCACATACACACGTTCTGTGTCTTTAAATGAGCATTTATAGCAATAAAGCCGCCTTCTAAGACTTTTAACCCGTCCTTAGGGTATTCCCTCTGTTTTGCCCCAGATCAGAAAAAAACGAGGGAGTGACTACGCCGGTTGGTTAGTCACTGGGGAGCTGCAGCAGCAGATTTCCTGATTAAATAAGCATGCGCTAATCACTAATGTAGCTGTGCTGCGGGATTAAATCAGAGAGATGTCAAAATAATAACAGAAGGAGAATGAAGAGGTTGCCACAGGCATGACTCAATCTTTGAAATTATATGTTTAATTCTTCAGATCAGGTAAATGGCGTCAAATATTAATGCGCTCCCAAGATTTGTTTTGCTCTGTAGTTAACATTCATTTCCATGAAGTCATGCACAATCTTGCACTTGTCCTGAAGCCATGGAAAAGTCTCAAAATAGATACTATAATATATAGTTTAACGTTATAATGAGAATTTCCAGGCTTTATTATTTCTTTTGTTTTCCCTGACCAGTGCTCTGGGAGGCTCTTCTGCACTTCATATCCCTGCATTTCCCAGTGGAGGATGCCTAATTGATTATGTCCCTCAAGTGTGTCAGTTGCTCACCAACAAGGTAAAATTGCTGTTGTTTATTGTATCTTGTGTGAAAATATATATATATTGATTTACACATTTGCATGCCTTTATGTAAAGGTATTTCAGGTATGTGAATAATTTCTTGTATTTGTAATCCATCAAAGCAAGCATCCACTGAAGGACATCTTGTGTGTGTGTGTCTGTTCTTGCACGTGTGTCAGTCGTATGCAGCGTGGGCGTCCTGGCCAGCCTCCATAGGCTGTCTGAGTGCTCTTTGGCCTCCGCAGGTTGACAAATAGATATGCAGTGTGGACACGGTGTAATGCAGTTTCCTTAAAGGCAAAATACCCATCCCCCCTCTATTCCATTTTATACACAGAAATCCTCCATTTCTTCTTGATTTTTCTGACCAGCAGAGAAACCTTCTCCTGACTGTCCTCAGTATTTCTGGTTTTTCAAGTCAGAGCCGCTCCCTGCACTTCTCTGTAAAGAGGCCCAGAGTATGTGTGTAGGATGGCATGTTGAAAAGTGTTGTCAATATCAGGTAGAGGGAGAGAGGCTTGAAAAAAGGAAGGAGGAGTTCAGCTTTGTTTTAGAGAGTAAGCACAAAATGTTCAGAGTTAAAAACATTCTGACGCTCATCGCTCCCATTGGTTTCAGTGAGGGCCAAGAGCTTAAGTCAGGCGGTGTTTGCTGAACTGCTGGTATTTTTTTGTTCTTTTTTTGTTCTTTTGCAAAGGTTTGGCTGGCTTGTGCTGATTCTATTAAGTAATAACTCAGAGAAAGAACATTATGAACTGAATACATTTACACATCTCTGCATTGACAGTTAACTGACAGAGGTCAAAACGCAATTACAGTAATTGTAATGCCCTAATTCTAAGTATAAATTAATATTTCACCATGCTTTCTTAAAAGTATAAAAGCAATTTGTTAAAATATGTTCTCTTTGACACTATCTGCAGAAAATTTGCTTTTTGTTCCAGGATAACAAATCTGAACTTTCCTGCCTGAATATTTTATTATTTTACTTCATATAACAAGAGATCAAATATTATGAGCTGATTTTAGAATTTGCAGACCAGGATGATCAGATGGAGTCAAGTGAGACACTGTTTCCAAAGTAAACAACAATCAAACTGAAGTTTCTAGTATTTAGCCAACATGCACATTTGTGCCACTCCCAAAGTATCTGAATTGTGCTTCAGAAATTTTTTGTTAAATTAGTTTTATTGCTCAAGCTGTTCTGATTGAGTTAGATCAAAATGCCTTTCTTTCAAGTACTTTGTTCAAAAAGTGTCATTAAAGTAATGATGTATGTTTGATGTATGTTTCAAAATAAAGCTAAAACATCAAGTTAATGTAATTAAATTTCAAACGCAAAAACACCAAATACCTTCTGCAGTAGTTCATTGAATGCCATAATTAAATGAGGCTCTACCAGTACTCTCACTTCCACTACATTCTGACTTGGAAATATAACACCTAGACTATTGTGAACACACTATTTGCTTCAAGATACATGTATATTTCAAATATAAGTTTACCAAGAACACATCCCTGGAGAACCTCGCTATATAAAGAAGAAAAAACTTTTGCATCCAAGGATGTGCTAATGAACTGTAATATAAAAAAGTTGATTTATCCCATTCCTAAGGTGCCTCATATCACGATTAATTGAATGAATAATTTGTTGTATTTCAAAATTTGTTAACAATCAGAACCCAAAAATAGCTTATATTAGTATTATTATTATTACAGTAAATTGACCCTAAACATGACTTGGCAAAAGAATCTGGTAAGACAAAAGAAAGGCTTTCTCCTGGCAGCCCTTCAAAAAAAGTCATACTTGTTCAGCTTTTTTCAAATTGTCCTGTCACGAACCTCAACATTTAACATGTTATGTGAGGTCTGTAGAGTCTGAAGTGGAGCTCTTGGGTTTTCTCTGAGTATTGTACAGTCTGACAGTCTGACCTCTAGGTAATGTCCACTCCTGGGAAGACTGTCACCTGTCCTAGATGCTTTCTCCTTGTTAATAACCTTTCTCTCTGTAGAACAATGCACTCCAAACTGTTTGGAAATGGCTATTTCGATTTGTATCCCATTCTATATTTTAATTGTGAGCAATTAATGAAAAAGGCGATTGCAAGGGGATTGTGTTTTGTCGGGGTTATTAGAACAAATAATGTTAGAGTTCCATCTGCTTCAGAAAACAAACATGTTATTTAGTTTAATTAAAGTTCTTCTTTATCATAAGAATAATGGCTAGAGCACAGCACAATGCATGAATCAACCAGGCTGATTAATCTTGGTCTCATTTTTACTGTACACAAAGAAAAGAGCAACAAGCTTTGTGGTTGTTCTTCTTAGAAACTGAATAGCAAACTCAAGAGTGATTCATTATTTATAATATGTGGAATCATTTTTTTAACTTTGTATTTTTTCATTAACTTGTCTAATTAAAAAAAAACAAATGATTTATTCCTGAAAACAACTGAAGTGTGTTTTGATGCTGATGATGTCCTGTTCTTTTTGTAGCTTTAAAATAAACAAGTTTAGTCCCTTTGTCACAAGTCGACTTGAAATTCATAAAGTCTTTATGAAATCTGCAGTATGTTCTTGTCAAAATACAATAAAATTACAGTATATAGAAACCCTTAGTGGGATCCTTTTTATTTATATATTTTTTACAGTATTTTAGTTTTTAGCAATAGCTGTAACCCAGTAACCCTTGTATAGAGCTTTAAAGTGTCCAGCCTCAGCATTACGTTATGAGAAAAGTTTAGGCACAGTCTTATCTTGAGTCGTGAATTGAAGTAATCCATGTTATTAAAAAAACAGCAATACGAAGTGTGAGGAACAACACAGCCAGCTGAGAGGTTAATAACCAATCACTCTTAACACCTCAAGCAAAACTGTCTGCATAAAGTTTGAGCTCCATGGTTGAAACAGAAAAAAAAAGAAAAGAAAAAAAAGAAAAATCTTTTATTTCCTAGGTACAGTGAATGCAACATGGTTTGAAATTTGGTTTGGGACAAGACAAAGATGAGGAGTGAATTTTTCCACTCCAATCTGGAATGAGACATTTTCAAACCCAGAGACATTTTTAAATACAGCAAATATATGCTCTGAAACAGGACATATATATATATATATATGTCTTTCTATATGGA